TGTGCAAGTGTGAATGAGCACCAGAAGAGGGGACAGCGGGAAAGCAAAGCCTTTGCAGGACCCGTTGAGATGATTAGCTCTGCTTCAAGGTCCTGTAGAGATGAGAAAGGGAGAGATGAGACGTTCCAGCTTGCCTTTAGAAAGCGTGGTATTGAGGAGGGTGCGGAATCCATGCATTTGTTCTTGCATCCTTCCCAGTTGGACATTAGACTAGACTAGGCTAGACTAGACTATTTTCAGCCAGAAGGGACATCTTCCACATTAAGCCAGAGCACAACGGAAAGGTGACACCCACCGGCACCAACTGTTGCAGTCATCTGCTGAGTGCCACACTTCAATTTAGATCGTCTTTATGACATTATTATTATCAACCTGTTGGCATAGACCATCCTTCCCAGTTGGACATTAGACTAGACTAGGCTAGACTAGACTATTTTCAGCTAGAAGGGACATCTTCCACATTAAGCCAGAGCACAACGGAAAGGTGACACCCACCGGCACCAACTGTTGCAGTCATCTGCTGAGTGCCACACTTCAATTTAGATCGTCTTTATGACATTATTATTATCAACCTGTTGGCATAGATCATTTATTTATGACCGAAGTGATGGCAGCAAATATTTGAAGTTATTCTTGCAGCAGATTTCTTCAGGGAGACTGAAAAAGTCATCCTCCAGGAGAAAGCAGAAATCACCCCTCCATTGCCGAAGCCACTCAGGACGACCTGCTGCCCCACTGTGAACCATGACCTCAGCATTTCCTCATTTTATACTGAAGGTTCTTTTGGGTTTTACAGGACAACCCCAATACGGGCTCAGAATCACAGATACCCAGCATGCCCGGGGCTGGCAGGGCCCTCGGGAGCTCACCCAGTGCCACCCCCCTGCCCAAGCAGGCTCACCCAGAGCAGGGGGCACAGGACAGCGGCCAGGCGGGGGTTGAAGATCTCCAGAGAAGGAGACTCCACAGCCCCCCTGGGCAGCCTGGGCCAGGGCTCGGGCACCCTCACAGTCAACAAGTTCTTCCTCCCGTTCAACTGGAACCTCTTCTGCTTCAGGTTGTGCCCATGGCCCCTTGTCCTGGCGCTGGGCACCACTGGGAAGAGTCTGGCTGCGTCCTCGTGACCCCCACCCTTGAGATATTTGTAGGTGGTGATGAGATCCCCTCTCAGCCTTCTCTTCTCCAGGCTGAACAAGCCCAGCTCCCTCAGCCTTTCCTTGTAGGGTAGAGTCCAGGCTTACAATCTGCCTGTTGAAAGTCCAGGAAGAAATCCACAGAGCAAAGCGATTACCTGGGTATCACCTCAGATAAATTTCTGAAGTCCAAAGTAGGTCCGTGCTCAAATACAGAAAATTAGCTGCCTGTTTTACTCTAATTCACTAATTCTCGTAAACCGCAGACTTTTTTCTAGCATTAGTTCATTGTTATTTGCCTATCTTTGAAGGACATCCCTCACGTCTCCTCTAGCATCCTAAAGTAATAAGCTCATGGATTCGTTACCGCCTTCCCTTCCCATCGGTAGGTGGCACACTCAGAAAGCGAGAAAGTTAAAATCCCAGAATCCAGAAGTCGCGCATGTTTGCTTTAGAAGACACTTTAATGACTCGATTAATTAATTCTGAAAAGGGACTGCTGGCCCAGTTAGCCAAGCCTAAGCAGGAAAGTGTCCTGGAAATGGGTCACCTCCTGTCCAGCAGTGTAAAGCACCACATCTTCCTTTCCCAAACCACACCTCTGGCCTT